GTATTGGGCTGGAGAGATGGCTCAGAGGTTAAGCACACTGACTGCTCTTCTAGAAGTCCTGAGTTCAATTCCCAGTGACCACGTGGTGGCTCACAACCATCTGTAATGGGATCTGATGCCCTCTTCTGGTGTATCTGAAAACAGTGACAGTGTACTCATATACATAAAATAAGTACATCTTTAAAAAAATTAATATTTATCATATTCTTTGGAAATTTCATACACATATACTGTGTCTTGATCCAATCCCACTTTCCCTCACCGCCTCCCCCACGTCTTCCTCTCACCCACATGTCCGTTCCCTTTCATAACCTACTGAGTCCAGCCTGTTTGCCGGTGTGGGTGTGGGGATGTGACCTGGAACGTGGGTCCTCCTCGTCCCCAGCATGGCTGCTTTCTGTCTCGGGTTGCCTTTATTATGTGTCACCTCCCGTCTAGCTCTGTGATGAGGCAGTGACTGGCCTTCGGCAGCAGACGAGCATGCTTTGAAGGGAGCAGGAAGCTGCTGCCCGGAGAGAGCTGACTGTACTTCCTAGAGGCACGGCATAAAGGAAGTGATCTTGTTGATGGGTGTTTGGGATTTTTGAATAGAACTCAGTAGCGTCTACTATTGGGTTATTTGCTAGGATCCCACACGAAGATAATGCATTAGGCCAGATGTATTAAACATGCCTGTAATCCCAGCACCCAGGCAAGAGGCAGATGTTTGAAAACAGAAAAAATATGGCCTGCGCTAAGGCCTCCAGAGACAGTTGGGAAGCCTCCGGTTCCCTAGCACTGGGTATATTATGTTAGAGAGTCAAGTGTAGATGTCAAGTGGGTAGTGGGTCAGCTAGCTGGAGATGATGAACATTTGAGATGAACATTTGAGTCATCAGTGTGGAAATGCCCCTCGGAGCCTTAGTAATCCCCAAGAGGTGGCCAGGCTGAAGATTTCAGAGATGCTGAGGGTATGGCCAGGCCTTGTCTGACAGCTCGTCTCCTGTAGCATGTCCCCCGGGCCACTGGGGACTCAAATGCTCCCAGCCCTGCCAGTGTCATCATGGTGGAACCTGCCACCCCCAGGATGGGAGCTGTGTCTGCATGCCAGGCTGGACTGGACCCAACTGCTTGGAAGGTACCCGTAGAACAGTAACACACTGGCTCTCCAATCCCCTGCAGCCCTTATCTGAGAAGAGACTGCAGCTTGCTGCCTCCATGACCCATACCTGGCTCTTGGCTGTCTTTAGGCTGCCCACCGAGAATGTTAGGTGTCAACTGCTCCCAGTTATGCCAGTGTGATTCTGGAGAGATGTGCCATCCAGAGACTGGGGCTTGTGTCTGTCCCCCAGGACACAGTGGTGAGCACTGCAAAACGGGTGAGTTCTTAGCCCCTTTGACCCTTGTTTTCTCCTAGACTCTGAGACCCAGGGCCCTCCTACCATCTCTGTCTTCCTTAAAATATACTCAAGTTCACGAGCAGAACACAGGTGCCCGTCTCAGTGACCACTGTCATCTCACAGGAAGCCAGGAGTCCTTCACCCTAATGCCCACCTCTCCTGTGACCCATAACTCACTGGGTGCAGTGATTGGCATTGCAGTGCTGGGGACCCTTGTGGTGGCCCTGATAGCACTGTTCATTGGCTACCGCCACTGGCAAAAGGGCAAGGAACACGAGCACTTGGCAGTGGCTTACAGCACTGGCCGACTGGATGGCTCTGATTACGTCATGCCAGGTGAGCTGGCGTAGGGGCCTAAGTGACTGATGGGCAGCGGGGGACTGCTGAATATGCACCCCCGTGGGATGAGGGGTGCAAGAGGGGAAGGATCAGGGAGGGCAAACTACTGTTGCCCCGGCCTCCTGTCTGAGTTACCTGGCACCCTGTTTGTCCTGCAGATGTCTCTCCGAGTTATAGTCACTACTACTCCAACCCCAGCTACCACACCCTGTCTCAGTGTTCTCCTAACCCCCCACCTCCTAACAAGGTCAGTACCTCGAGGGGACCTGCTCTGTGGGTGGGATGTGCCTCTCGGGAAAGCCTCACCCTTGCTTGTGGTCCCCCCACAGGTTCCAGGCAGTCAGCTCTTTGTCAGCTCCCAGGCTCCTGAGCGGCCAAGCAGAGCCCATGGACGTGAGAACCACGCCACACTGCCCGCTGACTGGAAGCACCGACGGGAGCCCCATGACAGAGGTAGGAGCCTGGAGGCCAAGGTCAAGGGGAATGTGAGCAGCCTTACCTGCTGCATCGTCTTGGTGGGGTAGGGGTGGGAGAAGAGCCTGCTTCCAGAGGCTGCTTGGGAAGGCCACGGGTCTGACTTGTACTTACCTTTCCTCAGGCACCAGCCACCTAGACCGAAGCTATAGCTGTAGCTACAGCCACAGGAACAGCCCTGGACCATTCTGTCATAAAGGTATGAGTACAGACACAGGGAAGGAGAGGAAGGTGGGTCAAGGAGCCAGGACCTCCAAGGAGCCTGATTTTCTTCCTTGATCCTTAGGTCCCATCTCTGAAGATGGACTAGGGGCAAGTGTTATGTCCCTGAGCACTGAGAACCCCTATGCTACCATCCGAGACCTGCCCGGCCTGCCTGGAGAACCCCGAGAAAGCAGCTATGTGGAGATGAAAGGCCCTCCATCAGTGTCTCCTCCCAGGCAGCGTCTTCATCTCCGGGACAGGCAGCAGCGGCAACTGCAGCCACAGAGAGACAGTGGCACCTATGAGCAGCCCAGTCCCTTGAGCCACAGTGAGCCCTCCATGTCCCCAGCAGGGGCTACAGGGCACTGGGACATGAGAAGTAGGACGGGAGAAGGGGAGGGAGAGAAGCAGACAGTGCTGTGATATGGCAAGGCCATGGTCTTTTGGTCTCAAAGCAGCCGTGATATTGGGAGAATTGCCCTTCTTCTTCTCTGAAGGTTGAGTATTGAGATGGTGCTTGAATAGCACCAGAGAGAGCGAGAAAGAACTAGCACCCAGAAAAGTAGACACTGAGTTGGGAGACAGTGTCTTCATATTGTTTGAGGTGGACAGGTGGGGTAGGGCCTTGCTTAGTCATACATCCAGATGTTTGGCCCAGTCAACGCACATGCATTGCCGTCCACATCTCTATGGGTAGGAAGAAGCTGGAGTAGGAGGAGCCAGGGGAGGTTGAGGAGTCACCTCATCCTGTCCTCTCTGTCTTCAGATGAAGAGTCTGTGGGCTCCGTGCCCCCTCTTCCTCCGGGCCTGCCTCCCGGTCACTATGACTCGCCCAAGAACAGCCACATCCCTGGACACTATGACTTGCCTCCAGTACGACATCCTCCATCACCTCCATCCCGGCGCTGAGGAGCCAGCATGGTATGGGAGAGTACCTGCGTACCCTGCCAGGAGCAGGGACTGGACCAGCAGGCCATGAACAGACGCACTTGGTGAAGTGAACAGAGACTGATTGTGGCTCTCTGCTTCCACCCAGGGAGACACTAGTTGGCAAAGTGTCTGACCCCCAGCCCCTTCCAACCCACCACTCCTCAAGTCCCCCAGGCCCTGTGGATATAAGCTGGTGGGCAGAATGTTGTTGTATAAGTCTGATTTTAGATTGATTTTTTTTTTAAAAAAAAATCTCTGTTGGGTACCTTTTCTGTGTGTGTGCCCAGGCAGGCTGTGTGTGTCTCTAGTTGGCTTTAGAGGATGCCAGGTACAGGTTCTGCCTTCTGCACTTCCCAGCTTAACTAGTTAAAGCTCTAACAGCAGGCCCTAACTACCTGTTCATCCTCCACTCAGTAATCCTCCATGTCTTTGCTCAGAGGATTGTTCCCCACCTCTGGTGTTTGTCTTTCTGGTACGCCTTGGACTATGCATAGTCAAACTTTTCATGCCTCGATGGCCCTGCAGCCTACCTTTCCCTTCTGGCGTCACTCTTTCCCAGAATGAAGGCTGTCTGGCACCCTTCTTCCCATCCCAGGAATTAGCACATCTAAGTCCAGCCTTCCTTAGTTACCTGTTGAGTCCTGCTCATCCTTCACATATTCCAGAGAGCACTCACCCAACGTCTTCTTCATAGCTTCACTCTTCTCCACGTGTCTGCAGAAGGCCGAGGTGGTGGCAGGCAGAGAGTGGGTTTATCTCATTTGTCTTGTTTTTGAGACAGTGTCTCACTATGTAGTCCTGGCTGGCCTGGAACTGAGGTCAGCCTGCCTCTGCCTCTTGAGTGCTGAGTTTAAAGGTGCAGGCCACAAGGACAGCTCAAACTGCACACTCCGATGTGGTTTCCATGTTACTAGATTAGCCTCTGCCTCCCCCTAGTGGAGAGGTTGATCTCCAGCTTTCTGAATGCAGGACTCCCGTGGTGTTTATGCTCACTCACTATTGGTTTCCCTTGGCACATGGCAGTCACTCAATAAATGTTTCTCTAAAAGCTGAGTGGCTGAATGAAAGTACCAGCAATACCGTGTCCTCAGTGTCCCTTAGAGCCTAGTCTGGAGGTCTCCTCAGAGGTAGCATCTCCGCAGAGAGCAGCATCAGTGCCAGAATAGCTGGAGTCCATGTGGCGGTGCTGAATGAGGTGCCAGGCTAGAGGAAGCCAAACAACTCAAAGGGGCCCAAGATGGCGAAATGGTAAAGATGAGGCCGCCTAGATTAAATCAGCAGACAAGCCTCTAGTCCTCCAGGAAGCTGAATAGAGCTGGTGGAGGAGAACTCAGCATAGCCTGAGCCCTTACCACTTGGGCCCTTCACAAGGCACTCTCTCCTACCACCGTCTGGCTCAGTGTGTCCTCTCCCCCAACTCCCCTCTGGGAGTACAGACCGTTAGGGGCCTACCCGCACTACCCTAGAATCCATGCATCTATGCCCTACTATTCTAGGCTGCTTGAAAGCTTCTCTGTTTACACAGACCCCCAACCTGCCTAGCCACGCCCACTGGTTCTGGCCCCGGGGTGGGGGGCGGGGCTGGGTCAGGGCTCTCCACGTGCATTCTTTGCCGGTTGCTCTGGCCACAGCCCCACCCAATCAGTCTCGGTTGCCCTGGAGAGGGCAGTCGCAGAGTCGCTTGGCTGAGTGGAGCTCCTCAGGGTGAGGCCTACAGAGTCCTGTTTCATCTTGCCTCTCACTCGAGGGTTCCAAAACCACCACTATGTCAAGTGAGCCAAGCGCTACAGGGACCTCACCCAGGACACCACGTCCTGGGGCCCAGAAGTCATCCGGTGCAGTAACCAAGAAGGGGGATCGGGCTGCTAAAGATAAGACAGCAAGTGCCCTGCCTCCGGTGGGTGAGGAAGAGCCAAAAAATCCCGGTATGCTGGCAGGGCACGGTTGGGTTAATTGGACTTGGCTTTTTCTTTTTGAAATTAAAACTGGTTTGCATCTTGCTATATAGACTAGGCTAACCCAGAACTCAGAGGCCTACCTATCTTCTCCAAGATCAAATGTAGATCACCACATCCCTTCTCCTCAGGGGTTGGTCTTAAAGAGTACACATTGCCCAGGGCTGCTGACATAACACTGTAAGATGTGATAAGATAGGCCAGAGAAGCCTGGGGTTGTGCTGAGAAGATCCCGTGGTGCTGTGGGAAGGTTTATGAACACAGCTCTGTGGATATTCATTTAGACAACAGTTACTTTTGAGTATCTGCCTTGTGGCCATGGTCACAGTTCTGCTTGGGCACATTTAAAGAAAACCATTCAAGTTGGATACACAGGACCATGGCTTTTCATGTTGCAAGTGACAGAACCCAATTTGAACCAATTAAGCACAAATGAGAGTATGTCAGAAGGCATCTTGATACAAATTCGATGCTTTTGTTATTAAAGAGGGTCAGGACCCTGTTTTTGCTGGAATGGAAATAAAACACCCTGGGAAAAGATGCTGACGGCCTGCCTACCTTTTGACAGGTGCCATTTCCCTGTCAGTGCTAATGCCCAGGGACAGGCAGGGTATGAGGAACTGGAGAAAAAGCATCTTTCATAGGGAAGACAAGATAGGACAGTGTTCACTGGGCACAGAAAGGGCACATACTTGTGATCCCAGCACTTGGGATGCTGAGGCAGGAGGCACTAAGTTTCTTATAAATCGTGGGCACAGCAAGACTGTGACCCAAGGGAGTAAAAGAGAAAAAGAAACTCTGGCTGTGCATGGAGGAGACAGGAAACAGAAGGGCAGCAGAAAGGTGATCGTGACTCTGAGTAGCCCAGTCCAGGAACTGTGGAATTGGCATAAGACACTGAAGGTGTGAGAGGGTGTGTTAGGCTCCTGGGAGGTAGAAGTTGGTGAAGGATGAGGGGGATGGAGAAGAACCCCGAATGACCGAGTTCCAGGTTTCTAGCCTGGGATGCCAGCTGGGTGGAGATGACACTCATGGGAAGAAAGCTGAGAGGAGCATGTAGGGAAGGGCCTTCATGAACATGCAGGGGCGGGCCTTCAGGAGCACGTGGGGGGGTACTTCAGGAGCATGGGAGGCCTTCATGAGCATGCAGGGGCGGGCCTTCAGGAGCACGTGGGGGGGGGGACTTCAGGAGCAGGGGCGGGTCTTCAGGAGCCAGGCTCTGCAGGAATGAAGAGTGGCAGAGTGAACACGTTGGGAACTGCTAGGGTGCTGGAATGTTCAAACCTGAACCTAAGATGGGTCAGGACTCTGCCTGAAGAGACGCAAAGCAGAAGGCCCTAGCAAGGATGGCCTGAGCAGCTTTGGCAGATGCAGGGACGAGAATCAAGTGACTACTGTACAGGGCGGGCAACATGGAGATCACAGAGACTTTCACGGTTGCCATTGTATGTCCTGGCAGGGCAGATGTGGCTGACAGGTGTGTAGACTCCATCTGGTGACTAGTTTCTCAATCTGTGTGTGGGTTGGGGCCGTTTAGCGTTGGTCTGAGAACAGGAATAAATTCTTTTGAGACAGTCTTGTAGGAATAAATCCGTGAGAGCTTTGTCACGGGCCCAGGAGGGGGGTTTAACAGACTCTTCAGGTGGTTCCCATGGATGTGAAGGTTTGAGAGGCTCTGCTCTTGAGAGGTGAGTGATGCTAAGAAGGGTGGAGGGGGCATCCAGTCAGCAGGGGCCCCCGCTCTCCATGCATCTCCTTCTGAGTGTGAGATGAGTAGACGGGCTAACTGGTTGACCGTTTCCCATGTGTCTGAGTTTCCACTGACAGCTGGCCACAGGAGCCAAGCGTCTCTTGCCTCTTCCCCAAAGAGTTCTCAGGCTTTCTGTGTCATGCGGCCTCTTGGTGACCTGGGGCCAGGCTCCCTTATTGCACAGATTTATTGTAGAAGGCCAGGCACAGCTGACACTGTTGTGGAGCTTAGGCAGGCCCCCTTCCTGAGCTACCATGGTAAGAACTGAAGAGAGTCCCTTGGGGGTATCAGACACCAGATTTGTAATCTTATTGCAGAGTCTCAGGATGGTAGGTGGTAGGTATGACTGATTTAACAGAACTTATCAAGGCAAGGAGAATCTCTAAAACCTTTACAAACGCTGGGACACTGACTAGCAAGTACTATAAAAGTGTCAAACAGGTCAGCAACCTGGTTAGGTAGGTGTAGGTCCCTTTCTGTGAACTCTTGCTTTCCTTCAGCGTTTTCGGCTTTGGTCTTAGCAAAGCAGCTTCCACTTGGGGCGGCTGCGAGGGTGGAGGTTACCGCGGCGCTGCAGGCGGGGCCCACTTTACTGCTGCTGGGGCGGCTGTGAGGGTGGAGGTTACCCCGCACTGCAGGCGGGCCCACTTTACTGCTGCCCTGCAGAGGAGTACCAGTGCACTGGGGTCCTGGAGACAGACTTCGCTGAGCTCTGCACACGGTCAGGCTACACGGACTTTCCCAAAGTTGTCACCCGGCCACGGGCCCAACAGAGCTCTATCCCTTCCGCCTCCTTGACAGAAAAACCAGCCCAAGGTGAGCCACAGCCCACTCAGCTTACTCACTGGGCGGGGCACGCTGGAGCCCCAGGTACTCTCACGTTTCTCTCTGTCTTCTAGATGACCAGAGACTGTCGGCATCCTGTAGCCAGAACAGCCTGGAGAGCAAGTATGTGTTTTTTCGGCCTACCATTCAAGTGGAGCTGGAGCAGGAGGACAGCAAGGCCGTAAAAGAGATCTACATCCGAGGTGATGATCCGCCCTCGCCGCTCATTACCCCGTGCAGCCCCGCCCCCTACTGGCTCACAGCAGTTCATACCAGGCTCCTTCCAGGCCTGAGATTACTTTGGCCTTTCTCTTGTCAGGTTGGAAAGTTGAAGATCGGATTCTGGGTATTTTCTCCAAATGTCTACCCTCCCTCAGCCAGCTGCAGGCCATCAAGTGAGAGGCATTGTGGGAGGTCAGCCTCTGGCTGGCTTGAAAAGAGACAGCAGTGGGCTCTGCTGGGGAGGGTGGAGGGTGTGTCTGGGGGACTGTGAGAAGAGGCTTCCTGTGGGACATGGTGTCCAGCTGTTTCTGTTTCTAATATCAGCTTGTGGAAGGTGGGACTGACAGATAAGACCCTGACCACTTTCATCGCCCTTCTGCCTCTTTGTTCCTCTACACTCAGGTCAGTTGTGGTCAGGCCCAAGTGCCTATGTGGCCTGGCTGGGGTGTGTGAGGGGAACCAGTTACCTGCAGAGTTAGACCTAGGCTGGCATCTCTGTGAGAATGGGGCTTAACTTAGCCCATGTCTGCTGGGTGGTGGGATTCCCACCTGAGAAGCCGCTGTTTTAGTCCACATGGCGTCCATAGAGCTCTTGGAGGTCTCATTCACTCTCCTCTCTCTGTGGAATCACAGGGATGGGTGGGGGCAGAAACAGGTTTAAGGTAGCTGACTACAGCACTACAGCCGGGCGGTGGTGGTGCTCACCTTTAATCCCAGCACTTGAGAGGCAGAGCAGGCGGATCCCTGAGTCCGAGCCAGCCTGGTCTACAGAGTGAGTTCCAGGACAGGCATGGCTAGGGCTACAAAGAGAAACCCTGTCTTGTACTACACACATACACACAAGGAAAAAACCCCCAACAACACCAAACCAACCAACTAAACAAAAAGTAGCCAGTTAGTTTGCTGTACAAAGGACAAAGCCAACTTTGCTGTCTGCCCCTTTTCAGCCTCCCACAGGACCCTAGAGTCAGTCCTTGCTTCACAAGTAGTACCTCTCAGTGCTATACAGGTGGGCTTTCCTCCTGTGAGTTGGATGCATGTTCCCTGAGGGCAGTGGCTGTATCTTTGGGGGCAGGGGAGTAGAAGCAAATGAGTTGGCAGAAAAAGAGCCCTATGAATTCATGATGTAAGAATAAACCACATCAGCATAAGATGACTTAAAATGAAAAAAAAAAAAAGAAAAAGATGACATAAAATGAATTGTTTATATGAAACAAGGCAGCCGGAAAGGCCGAGCAGCAGTTATAGACCATGGGAAATATTTGAACAGAGAACTTTCTGCCCATTGGTTCCATTTTCTCAGGACTGTGAGAGAAGTTCCTGCCTTGTAGAGGGCCGAGGGCCCTGCGGTGAGACAAAGTAACCAAAGAATATAGTAGCTTCAAACAATCAGGAGTGTGGAGTGTGATGACACATGTGTGAGCCTAAACCTGGAGTGCAGAAGAGGCTGAGGCAGGAGGCTTTGAGGCTCAAAGCCCTGTCTCAAAACCAAACAGATCAACCAACCAAATGAGGGGACCCTTGAGAGGTCCCCTGAGATCCTCTGAAACAGAGTGGCTGGGTGCCCCGACTCACGCTTGAGGCTACAGGAAAGCTCTACTTGGGACTGTGGTCCTCTCGGGGGGAACTGAGGCAAGGGACTCTCCTTCTCAGCTGGCTTATGTGGTGCCTGTGGGCCTTCCCGTGACCTGGCTAAGGGTCTGAGAGCACCGAGGATGGAAACCAGTCCTTGTCACTCAGAAATGACATCCTATCATTTTTGCCATAGTCTGTTCATTGAGAGTATCACTAGTACACACACATACACAACTTTAATCCCAGGACTGGGAGGCTGAGGTAGGCAGATCTCTGAGCTTGAGGCCAGCCTAGTCTAGGTCAGCTAGGGCTACACAGAGAAAAACAAAACACCACCACCCCTTTCCCCCAACACAAACAAATGCCACTAGTTCTAGCTACCACATTAGACAGGATTACCCAGCATGGCCTGGGTACCTAGAAGTAGGGCTCAATCAAGGCCACCCTAGAGACCACTATACCACAGGCCATGCTTTTGGAATTTTAGCCTGGGGAATTGTCATAGATTTAGTTCTTATATTGGGGGATATCCTTAGGCTCAATTTCCCAGATGCTCCCCAAATATCCACCCTTCTCTCTATTTCCTTCCCACTTGTGTGGCCTCAGTGGTGTTTCCAAGGTCTCAGATCCCTCTCCCTCTTAGGAAGGTATCTCTGGAGGGGAACCCAATACCGGAGCAGTCCTTCAACAAGCTAATGGGACTGGACAGCACGTGAGTGTCCTTAACCTCGCTTCCCCGTCTTGGCCTGTCTACCCTTCCAGGTTACCTTTAGCCCTTACCTTTCTTTATCCCAGGCACCTCTAATGCTTGCTCCTCCACCTAGTCTATTAGAGCCCCAGGAATACCAGTTCTCCCTCTGCTCCAGGATCGTTCACTTGTCTCTGAGAAACAACAACATCAACGACCACGGGGCGCAGCTCCTGGGCCAGGCACTGTCCACACTGCACAACAGCAACCGGACCCTTGTTTCACTGAACCTGGCATTCAACCACATCGGGGATGAGGGCGCGGGCTACATCGCGGATGTGCGTGTGGTGGGACGCTTCCTGCCTGGGGGTGCCAGCTTGTCCTTGGCTGACAAGTCACTTTGTTCTTCAGGGCCTGAGGCTGAATCGCTCTCTCCTCTGGCTGTCCCTAGCGCACAACCGCATTCAAGATAAGGGAGCACTGAAGCTGGCCGAGGTGGGTTGGCACCTTGGGCGGGGCAGGGGATCTGATGCAGGTGTCTGATGCAGGAAGCTGGCCTTGCCTCAGGTCCTGCGCCCTTTTGAGCTGACCCACAGGGAGGTGGTGGAGCGGCGGCGCCTGCTGCTGGTGAAAGGAACACAGGAGCGGTCTCGATCGGTGAGAAGCTGCCTGGTTCCAGGACAGCTGCATTTGTTTTCCAGGTCGGCTGCTTTTCTGTCCAGGACTCCTAAATTCCCCGAATCCCCTTGCCCTTCTGGATTTTCCAGAGCTAAGGTCTGCCAAACCCAACTTGAGACTCTAACTATACAGCTACTCTGACATTATAGTTAAGAGAGAAGATGCTGTTGAGACCACCTGGCTCAAAATCCTCCCGGCCATATTACCAGTTTCTTTCTGATCTTGAACTCATGGGGGCTGCACTTTCCTCAACTAAGCAGGGTAGCTGTTACTTTCTTCACAGAATTGAGATGATTAAATGAGTTAGTATAGCACATTTGGAATACTGCCTAGCACTTAGCTCAACAAAATCTGCTGGCTAGGCAGCTAGGAGGCAGATGAAACATGTGTTCAAGGACAACCTGAGCTACAGAGATCCTAGTTCAAGAAAACCAAGGTCTGGAGACACAGAATGGTAGAACACTCACCTAACACACACAAGGCCCTGGGTCTGATCCCCAGTACTGCAATAATACAAGAATAAATAAATATATTTAAATTCAAATTCAAGGTGGGTTATTTCCCTGTCCTTTGAGAGTCTGAGCTTCCAGCTCATTCTCTACCATTTCTGGTCTCTCTCTTGCCAACAGCAACTCTGTCCTGAACTGATGGATAGGCAAGGGGGAGGGGGAAGGACAAGGGCAAGGCTCTAGTTACTTTCTCTACACCCTCCCATTTGTGAGTGCAGCCTTCCTCCTCCCGTTATGGGGACTCCAAAGCAGACCGTGAGAAGTCTCAGACGCTGGGGATCAGCAATGTTACTTTGGTGGACAAGCAAGAAAAGCTGCAGTCAATGAAAGCCCCTAAAGGCCTAGGCAAGAAAAAGGAGAAGTCGGGGGTAGGTGTGCTGGTTAAAGGGAGCCTTGGGTCTCAATGGGCAGGGGAAGATTTCCAAGGTGTATATACAGGGTAGTAGGAAGGAGGGCAAGTGGATCTGGCCTTTGACGATGTCTCTCAGGCCAAGCCTTCGTCTATCTTCCCTCTGGAAGGCAGGATACCCATCATTATGTCTTCTCACACCTGTCCTAGGAAGTTGTAAAGAAGGAAGAGAAGCTGGGAGCTGGGCAGTCACCCACACAAGGAACCCCTAAGAAAGAAGATGCCACAAAGGCAGGCAAGGGGAGTAAGTGTGAGCACCCCTCTACGGGAATCTTCCCCACACAGAGGAAGAGCTTTGGGTAGGGTGCAGGAGCTTGGTTTTGGCCTGGCTCTGTCTGCCAGGATCTGATCTTTCAAGACTCCCCCTGGGCCTTGTTTACAATGAGTGACCACTTGGTCCACACACTGTGGCTTATCTTATAGGACTTGTAGGACTAGACCTCCATGGCTGTCCTCAGAAAAGAAACCTGCCAGCTGGATGGGAGCTCATTGTAGATGTCCCTATGTTTTCCCCAAATCTCAGAGTTTGGGAAGTCTGCCTTACCAAGCCCCTTTCTCTGGGGAGTTTGGGTGGTGTCAGGGGGTCTGCTCTGTGCATTCTGGCTCCTCTTCTGGTCCCAGAGGTAACCATCCCTGAGCAGAAGATGAGCAAGGGAAAAGCGATGAAGATTGGGGCCAAAGAGAAGCGCAGCATCCTCCTGGAGTCAGAAGTAAGTGGGCCCCAGGAGTGTGCCTCCCAGCCCTCACTGCTGAGGCAGGGCATGCTAGCTAACCTGCACTGTGGAGGGGACACTCAGAACTCCCCACTTCCCTTCCCATGTGGCAGGTCCCTTTACCTCCTTGTCTAGGGGAAGCCCCACTCAGGACCTGCTGCCCAACTGAGGCTGTTCTCTAAGGTCCTCAGTTCACCACCAGCCCTCGACCACCTGACGTCTGCACGAGGATGGGTTGCTCTTACCCTGAGGCACTCCCTAAGGCACTTTCAGTCACACTCTGCTCCACATAGGACTCTTCCATCAGACCCTCTTCTGCTGCTGGACCCTTTCAGTGTCTTTCCTTAGGAAGTCTTCCTGGGCCACCTACTTCCTGGCTCCCAGTCCTCTCTCCTACATCTGAGTGGTTCTCTCCATGAGACTCCATGACCCTCTCATACGCTCCTGGAATTGAAAGTCTTGTCCTTTAGAAGTCTTTCCTGGCACCCAAGTCAAGTTCTGGCAGAAGAGCAAGTTAGATGGAACAAGGAAGACGGTTTTGTAATTCCCATGTTACGGTCTCTGCCTTTGTCTTAAGCAGACTGCCCCTTCTCACCAGGAGCATCAGTTTTCAGACTACTCTCTTTAAGGAAGAGTTACAGATCCTCATTAGAACCTCAGTCCTGTGTGGACTCAAGGCTCCATTGCCTGTGTACCTGCCACGTTCCTTGCCTGGGGAACTGACCCTCTCCATCTGAGTGCACACCTTCACTTTTCACTCCCAGGCTGCCTTTTAAGGTCTACACTCCCACAGTCCTCTGCTCTCAGGGCCCCTCCACATCACATTCCTGTTTAATTCTCTGGCTCCCCCACACCAAGGAACTTTTTGAGGATATGGGTTATTTATCTTTGTTTCTCCAGCACCTAGGACAGACCCTGAATTATAACCAGCAGTCAAAGCCTGTATGTTGAATGAATGAATGAATGGCCTGTTGACCAGCTCCCCTCTCCTCTGCTGCAATTAGTATTCTGCTTTAGCAGCTGGTTGTTGAAGCTACAGAGATGGTTAACCCTCTCCTGGAGCCTGTGGAACACCGAGATGGGAAGGTTTTCTTGCCTGGGAACAAGGTCCTTTTGCACCTCAACCTGCTCCGTATGTTTACTAGCCTTGCCTATCCTTACCATGGGATTCCCTGGGCTCCATCCTGCTAAGGGGTACCACTCCAGCTCCATGGGATGGACTCAATTCTCCAATAGTTGAGCATCATCTTGTCAGACCCATGGGGCTGGGGCTGGGGCTGGAGAGGAAGTCCTGGGTCAGGGAGGTGACCCAGGGCAGTAGTGACATGGGTAAGATAGCTAGGTGGAGGAGAGGCATCAGCAGGGTAAAGGGAAGTGAAGGGGAGCCAGGCTGCCAGTGATGTCAGATGCCACTGTCTGTGCTTCCCCTTAGGAAACCAAATCACAGAGGTGGGGCTGGAAGGCTTCCTCACTGCTGTGCAATACCAGGTTCAGGTCTCCAAGTCCAGGACTTCATCCAAGGCCCCCCTGGGACTGCTGTGGCTGTCCTTGGCGGTAAGTCTGCAGCCCACTTCTGGAAGGTCTCCTTGCCCCGATTCTTTGTTTCAAGGCAGTAACCCATGTTTTCTGCAGTTAACAATGCTGTGCCTGCCTTCCCGTTTGACAGCCCTAAAACTCTGTCCAGGGCATTGTTTTCTCCTGGAGGCAAATCTTCATCCTGTTAACTTTTTTTTTTCCTCTTTCAGAAAAATTGCTTTGACCCACAGTGTCAAACACACATCATGATTCAAGAACTGATGTTGCCAAGGGACCCTGTGAAGGCCAAGGCCAGGGAGGAGGAGGCCGCAGCTACCTAGGCCTCCTATAGGCAGCCTCTATCTCCATGGGAGGTATCTTGGACCAGTAACATAGTCTCTTGCTGTGCTGTTCTTTGAAAATCACTCCAGAACTGTTTGGAACATTTGGGTTCTTGAGTCTGTTTATATTCCCTGGCTAGACATGGCCAAATGTTGGCTGAATCACGCCATGGCTCCATTGGGGGATGAGCTGAGCTTCTGGCTAGGGCCATTGCTCTGAGAGTCCCAGCAGCATCCCCCAGGCCATCTCTGTCAGTGTGCACACAGCCTTAGGATGATGGGGGTCAGTTAGCATAACTGATGGAGGGAGCAGGCTTGGAACTAGGGCCCATCCCCTAGCATTCTCTGATGCTTATCTCTATGTATTTGTCTGATTTTCAAGAGGCCAGGGCTCTGCTGTAAAAGATGGAGGCACTCTGGAGAGGGTATTGTATCGAATTTGCATAGCAAAGGCCAAACATTAGACATGGCAGGTCAGCAGCTAGAAACCATGGACATCCAGAGTGGGGCTGCTTCCGCTAAAGATTCTGGAGAGCCCATGCCAACCTACAGGGGATTTCCAACCAAGGTAAAGGGGACATCTCCCTCATCTCTAGTCCCTCTGTCACCTCTACCTACCAGAGCTCCATCTTCTGCACTGGCCGCCTCAGTACTGGCTGGCAAGTGGTTCCAGGGATCTCTCCAATTGCTCTAAGTCTGAGTCACGGTATCAAGATGCACCATGGCCTCTCCAGTTATGGACCAGGTCTTCTAAAGCTGGCTTCAGCCCCACACTTGCTCAACTGCCATGGCTACTCCTGATCATGGGAAGGAGGAGGGCAGTGTGTGACCTTCCCCCTCATGTTTTACATCTGTGAGAGTAGGTCACAGCAGCCCTGTTCCTTTGTGTGAAGTAACCACAATGTCCTTTTCTGGGCCAGAGTCAGTCGCCCAACCTTTGCTGAGAAGGTCTACACACTTTCACTTTGGGACAGGTAGAAAGACCTGGTGTACAATGGCGTGGCAGGGGCTCTCTGGCGCCCTCTACCCATTCTTGACCAGTCACAACCGGCAGTCTCACACCCTCTATCAGTCTAAGAATCATACAACCACAATGGAAGAATATTTAACTTTTCTTTAAAAAAATCTTAACCATGAAAGGAAGAAAATAAGCGTATACATTATTTTAACAGCAAAACAGTCATTTCCATATCTATATTTTATATATTATATATATTTATATATATGTATATATACACCTAGCACAGTGTGTATGTTCATCGTGAGGACAGGGCGATGAGCCAATGGTGCTGTGGCCCCTGGGAAGGGAAGCCCTGACTTAACTCAGGAACTCCAGCAATCCACTCCACATCTCTCTTGGGGGTCTGTTTTGAGATCTGTACCTGTTGTATTTGTTTCTATGGGGCAAGTGGGGAAGGGTTGGGCAAGATGCTCCCTGCAGGGGCATCTCCTGACAGTGAGAAGGCCTAGGCTTCAGAGGTGGGCCCTGGAGTCTGGGAGACCTCCCTGCCAGTGGGACATAAACAATCATGACCCTGAGCTGGGCTGCTGCCTGGCTCTCTGTGACTGGTTGAACATGCCAGGGACAGAAAAAAAGGCCAAGTTATTTACAGTGGCAAAGATACACATACAATAGACATATTTATAGGAAATTAAAGGGGCAGAGAGGAGAGCCAGGAACTGGGCTGTCTCGGGGCCTAGGAAGAAGGGGAGGAAAAAAGTGCATGTACACATAAGCCTCCTCCTTTGACATGCATACCCGAGGGCACTGTGTGCACAGCACACCCCACACTGGTTATGTGGGGTGGAGGCCTTTCTGTTGTGGTCAGCATGCTTAGGAGATGAAAGCCATGGAGGCTTGGGCTAACAGGAGGACGAGACACTAAGCAGGACTGTCTGGTGGGAACAGACCAGGCAACAATGAGGGGTTCCCCGGCCACGGCATCTTTCAAGGGGAGGCTTGGGTCTCCTAGGGTTATGCTCTGGCTCTGGCCAGACTCTGGTTGTCTGGATGGCTATGGTCCTGGTGACGCAGTTGTGTCTGTGGCACTGTCTTCCAGGGGGGTGTCGGAGCCTGTGGGGAGATGGTGAGGGTGAGCAGCTGGCTACATTTGGGATGTTCTCTTTCGTGTCTCTGGCTGACTCTTCAGCACCAGCCGTCTGTGACAAAGCCTTAATAAAGCTCTAGAAATTTGATGACTTTTTTTTCCCTTATGTGTAATAGAACATGTGTGGAAGCCAGACAACTTGCTGGAGTCAGTCTCTTTCCATATGTGAATCCTGGGGCTCGATCTCAGATGGTCAGGCTTGGTGAGCCATCTTGTCAGTCCAAGCCTTGTTTCTTGTGGGACAGCATTTCTTTCCAGCCGCCAAAATCAAGACAGGTTAGGTGTTTTAACTTTCTGAATTGGGCCATTGCAGTGGCCTTGCCCTGATAATCCAGGTTGGAGCCACTAAGAACCTGCAGGAGAGGTAAGAAGGCTCTCCTGGTGCATTACTTCCTCAAATCAACATAAAAAGAGGGTTCTGGGGGCTGGAGAGATGGCCCAGTGGTTAAGAATACTTTCTACTCTTCCAGAGGACCCAGGTTCAATTCCCGTCACCCACATGGCAGCTCACAACCACCTGTAACTCCACTTTCAGTCCTCTTCTGGCATCCTTAGGCATTGCATGCATGTGGTATATAGACTTATATGCAGGCAAGGGGTTCTGTGCTATGAGTCCCTATTTGGGGGGAGCCTCTGTTCAGCTTGTCTAAAATGATCACTTTCTGGGGCTAGAGAGAGTTCAATGGATAGGCAGAACAACTAGGAACAGAAGACAACATCAAGAAGCTGGTGGGCCAGCCAGCCTGGCTTATCCAGCAGTGAGCATAGATCCTGCCTTAGGGTGGAAGGCAAGAACACATAACTGAGGTAGTTCTCTGACCGATGGTGCCCCCTCAGCCCCCTTGTTGGCCTGAAACTATATATATAGTCTAGGGTAACCTCAAACTTACAGAAATTCAGCTGCCTCTGTTTCCTGAGCGCTGAGAAAGGTACAGCACTCTGGCTGGCAAATATGTCTTTGTGAAGCTGAGGGATGTGCTCGCTCGTCTCGTGGGAAGGAGTCATGGAAGCATGCCTCACTACTTGTTTACACTTACTCATGGCGTCCCCTCAGGTGCACACGCAGGATTACCTTCTTCAGGGCAGGATCCCCGCTCCTGACTGTTTTGGGAGTCAGAGGCCAGGGCTTCCTTGGCTGGAGGAGAGAGAGAGTAGTCTGTCCATCTGGCTGCCTCTGTGTGAAAACTTCCCACAGGTGTGGTTCCACCAGATGACTCTCCTCCAAGGGACTTGAGCAGCTCTCTGTGGGCCAGCTCCATGTCCTAGAAGAGGTGCAGGAGGTGTCTGAGTCCCAGCGCTAAGGCTCAGAGCAGGTGTGGTAGGGTAGGCAGGGTAGCCTAGAACTCCAGTTGAAGACAAACACTTCCTGAGTTGGGGATGCGACTTAATGGTGAAATGTCTGTCTAGCAGGTGTGAGGACCTAGTCTTTCCCTCTCAGGAACTGTCCTGGGTAGTGGATGGAAGGCTTCCTGGCCTAAGGCCATGTTCCTCACCTTGAGTCTGTGAAGTTTGATAGTGAGCTGCTCGATGGTGTGGAAGACCACACCCACATCCCTGAGGACCAGGCTGGAGGGGGAGTGGCCGGAACACTGACCCCCAATGACTCCCCTGTGGTGCTGAGGCTCTGCTGGCCATGTAGGGAGGTGGTGACACTGCGAGGGACTTGGGGGTGTCCCAGTAGGCTCAGTGCTGGAGTCCAGAGGTCCTGCTGGCATGCTGACATAGAAACAGTTCCCTGTCCCAATGGCAAGAGAAAGGAATCAGAAGACAAGCAGAGATGCCTGAGTAATTCTCCTACGCCCCCAGTGTACCCTGTGACAGAAAAGGCCAAGGAGATGTCTACAGACAACCTACAGGGCCACGCTGCCTATCAGACTCCCAGAGGCCCTTTTCTCTTTAGATGGCAACTGTTCTTAGTCTGGCCACTGGCCAGGCCCACTGGCCAGGGTAAGATGCTCAGTGAGAAGAGGGAAGGAAGGAGGGGCAGGGTTTTAGGCCTCTCTGAAAGCAGCAGGCAGCAACGCTTCAAGTACCTCACTTCACACCCTACTGATGCATGTCAACACTGCCCTACATGTCACCAGCTCTAGAAGCATCACCTGATGAGGGGAGGTCAGAGATAGGCGGCAGAAATAGGTAATGGGTCACTGGAGGCCCCACCTGCAAAGCCATGCAAACCCTTTCCCATCATAGGGCTGGGGAAGTGGTTGCTCAGGATGTTGGTTAAGTACACTGCAGCGAAAGCGCTGGTCAGACTTCCTTGCCTTCTTCCTCACCTGAACACAGGCTGCTTAAACTCTGAAATGGGCTTCTATACGTCCCAGTGAGTGGATTCTTAAAGCTGGAGGTACAGGTCCTTGTCTCTGGGCTAATGTAGTGCTACATCCCACCCAGCTCAGACAGCTCAGGGAACACAGAGAACTCTGACAACAAGAGCCCAATACTATCCCACTGGACCCCTGCTCCCGCCTGGCCTGGCCTTGGCTCCAAGGAGAAATTGATTACCCGTAGCCTGTGCTCCGCCTTCCACTTCAGATAGCTCAGATTCTGACTGGCCACTCTCTGGTAGTGCAGGGATAACATTGCTGCCCTCCACCTTGGCTGCACCGACACCACCACCAGGGAGTACAGAGACTGAGAGACAAGGCAAGGGAAAAAGAGAGAAAGCAGCAAGAAGGGGAGGGAGAAACAGTGGACATGGCAGGAGAGCAAGAGTAAAGGAAGGAAAGCACAAAGTGAGTACAGATCATACATGGCTCTGTCCCAGGAGCTGTAGAGAACTTTCACCAAGTCACCTTGGAAGATCAGAAGCAGGTCAGTTCCCAGAAGCCCGGGAGAGGCAGCCTTTGGCCAAGAGAACGGGGCAGTGTCACAAGGCACTATAGGGAATCACTGCCAGGCTTCTCAGCCTCCAGTGGCCCAGGCCTGGCTTCACTATTCTGGCCATACTCCTCAGGCAAGCCTTCCTTCTTCCATAGCTCACGCTGCAGGGTCCGCCTGCCCCACCCTACCCTTGGCCCTACTGGTCTATTCAAATCTGACTGGAGTAGTCACAGAGCTGCCCACAGTATCTCCTCCTTCCCTCCTTCCCTCCCTCCCTCCCTCCCTCCCTCCCTCCCTCCCTCCCTCCCCACCGTGCACTTGCTCCCAGATCGTCCCTATTTCCAAAGGTCTCCCCAGCTTTGCCTTAAGCCCCTGTGTGCTCAGCTACTTTCTGGAGTAACAGACTGTAGGATTTGTACTCATCTCTCTAAGCCTGAGTCCTTTGGGAAGAGTGACTTTTTTTTTTCTTCAGATAATCAATGAAGAATAGCAAAAAACTTGTACTGGGAAGTTGATCTATACTTGTTTGAGGTAGGAAATGTCTTCCGTTACAGAAGGAAAATGGGATATGCTTTGAAATTTAAGACACACAAACATTAAGTAGCAAGCAAGGACTCTGAACCTTGCTTGTCTGACTTCCTATCAATACTATCTTGTCCCAGGTCCCAGTGCCAGTTTGCTCACATAGTATTCAGGAGAAAGATGCAACAAGTATGTCACACTCACCTCTACCCCAGCAAAAGTCTGAACACAATGGCCACAGAAACTTATTTTACCTTTTCTTACAACTTTGTAACTTCCTGCTGGTTCTGTGCTTGAAGGCTCTTCAGCTGGATTCCTATCCAGCTCAGGAGAGTCCCAGATGCCAGAATTTCTGGTCCTTGGTGGCAGGTGTGCCAGAGAACAGAGAGCAACATGCTCACCCTCTGGCTGGCTTCCCTCTGGCCTTGGGAATTGGGTGCTGTCACTTATAGTGGGAGCTTGTCCTGGGGATCCTGGGTCCCAGGGGTGAGAGGTGATGCTGACGACAGAAGGGGTGGGTGTGAGGTCATCCTCAGGCTCGCCAGCAGTCTGCGTCTTCACAGTGTGACCAGGCAGCAGGCTCCACAGGATCAGGTGACGCAAGTTCTCCACTGTAGGAAAGACAGAGGCCTCCTTAGGGAATGACTGCACAGAGGCTACTAAAGGGAAGCTCAGGGAGATGAGGGGTAGGTATCACTGCTCCTGCATCAACACAGTCTGCTGCAGCCTAAGGGTGGGGCTGGTGGGATCCGGCTGACTAGCTGACGTTTCTGCATTCATCTCTCCTCAAGCATAACGAGTAACAATCTTTGAGCAGGTAGAAGGTGAGATTCATATTGTCTATGCTACTGGGACACCAGGGCCAATGACAGTGTCTTTGAAGCACTCACCATCTTCCAGGGCAGCATCAGCAAGTCCCTCCATGAGCAGAGGGCCTGTGAGGGCCAGAAGGACAGGGTCCCTTGTCCTGATGCCTCTGTTTTCTCCATCCAGGGAGGGGGGAGGGTGAGGCAGGGTCCTCAGCTCCTCTGCATCTTCCTCCTGCTCAGGCTCCTCTTGTGCTACCAGCTGCTCGTCTTCAACTCTCTGCTCAGGCCCGGCGCCTATTTTGGATGAGTGTGTTAGGGCGTAAGAGGAGATGTAAGAGGTCAGCCATGTCCGGGCTGCAGACCCAGGGCTTGGGAGCACTGGTTGACAAGTTCTATGGGAATTCACGAAGCAGACCCCTGACCCATGCCAGTAGACAAAGACTTGTGCCTGAGAGTGGAACCTAAGGTCTTAGTGAAGGGACACAAGGAATAAAAATAAAGTAGGAAGTCAGGCACTTGTTAGAAGGTGAGGAGTATTATGGGAAAAAAGACAAAAATGGATCAGGGTATGAGCATTAGAAGCTGGGTATGAGCATTAGAATAGTAACTACACTATTAACTGAGATAACGAGGGCACCCCTGAAGGACCTGAGGGCTCCGAGGAAGACGGTCTAAGTGGAAGGAAAGGGAAGAGTGACGTATGCAGGGAACTCTACACTTTTCTCCAGACTCAAGATACTAATTTACCAAAACAACAAAACGAAAAGGCCCCAGACAAACCTCAAAGGGAAGTTACTGCAAACTGTGCTTCTCCATCCCATCCCAGTAACTGCTTCTTAACCCTGCACTCCTGGAGTGCCTGTACTCCTTGCTCTCTGACAGCAATCTCTGGCTGAAGCAGGCACGGTCTTTTCTGCTAACCCTGTTTCTATGG